AGCTTACTTCTAGTGTGGCGGCAATCCCGTGAGTGTGCTCGTTACCAAGGCTACCCACAGTGTGGGATGCAGGGAGGGTATTGACAGCTAAGCGGTTGAACAGCCAATTGAGCCGCCGTCCGAAGATTTCTTCTGAATTGCCCTCCCGCTGCATCTCCTGACGAGAACCAAACGACCAGTTTTTGGCGGTGAGCAACTTCAGTGTAATACAGCACGGCATGTATGTGTGTGTGTGTGTGTGTGTGCGCGTGTGTGCATGCGTGTGTGCATGCGTGTGTGCATGTGTGTGAACGTGATCGCACGTGCATGTGTATGTGTAATATTACGGTTGCTACCCATTCTTCGTACAGAGTTCCTGTGTGCGTGTGCAGAAGTGCCTTCATGCAATGTAAATCTGACTACTTGTAGCAGTGAAGTTGGCTGCTATTCTATCAGCAGATATGATCATGACAAAGTGGAGAAGGGTTGTTTGGGGTTCGGCTTGCCGGGTTGCTTGCCGATTCCTGGTTACGTATGCTGCTCGTCAGTGAACTTCTGCAATGCTGCTTTGAATCCCGCTGCACCATCTGGTCCCACTCAATCCACAACAGAAGGTAAGGACATTCACATGTGTGTGCGTGCGTGCGTGTGTGTGTGTGTGTGTGTGTGTGTGTGTGTGTGTGTGTGTGTGTGTGTGTGCATGGTACATGGTGTGTGTGTGTGTGTGTGTGTGTGTGTGTGTGTGTGTGTGTGTGTGTGTGTGTGTGCATGGTACATGGTGTGTGTGTGTGTGTGTAGCAGTATGTTTCAATGGATGCATTTGCACGCCTGTTTGGACGGATGTTTGCGTGTCAAAGAGCAAATAACTTTCTTACCGCTATCACAGTTGATGCACCTCAACAACTGGCAGCACGTCTGTTCATCGTGTCACAGTTGTAGCTACATGACATGTGCACCATTCTCAGCACATGGGGAATGAAGGAAATACTGAACAGGTTGCCATGGTTGCAGGTAGTGAGCTTGAAACATCAAACATGATTCATGCTGTCAGTGACCATTAACCATTGCTGTTTTATTTATGATGAATGTTGCTGAGGCGGTCATGAACATGCATGCGTAGATAGTATTAGACAAGGCGGTTCAAAGTATAATAAGGGTCAGATGTTGCATTTTGGCAATTTTTAACTTAAAATATCCCCCGGTCAACATTGAGGGATGGGCTTCAGTTTCCGCACCTACTTGTAGAAAAATGAGAACATTCTCTTCTTTTCTCTGATGCTATAAACAACAATTTGACGTTTCTGATTTGTGACCATCCGTTTTCCTCCCCCCCCCCCCCTTGTAGGCAACGAGACGGTGACACCTGCTAGCCATGGTGGTATCCGCACATTCCACATTGCTATTTACGCTGTCCTGGCTGTTGGTATCGTTTTCATGGCAATTGTGTCCATTTTATTGGGATACCGGCATCACAAGAATAAAACGTTAGTATGACATCATAAGTGACATGACCATGGAAATGTGCATGCCCTGTATAGTAGAGTTGTGTACTGACCTGGTACCTGATCGACTGCTTTTAAGTTTGTGTTGTTGTTGTTGTTGTTGTTGTTGTTGTTGTTGTTGTTGTTGTTGTTGTTGTTGTTGTTGTTGTTGTTGTTGTTGTTGTCGTTGTCGTTGTCGTTGTTGTTGTAGTTGTTGCTGCTGCTGTTGCTATTGCGGTTGTTGTTGTTGTTGCTGCTGCTGCTGCTGCTGCTGCTGCTGTTGCTGTTGCTGTTGCTGTTGTTGTTGTTGTTGTTGTTGTTGTTGTTGTTGTTGTTGTTGTTGTTGTTGTTGTTGTTGTTGTTGTTGTTGTTGTTGTTGTTGTTGTTGTTTTGGTTCTTGTGCTTGTACTGCATTTAACCATAAACACACAAGTACTGCTCAGTGTGCGGGTACCAGTACTGCTTATAAGGCTATCTGTCATTTGCATTGATGTTTGTGCATCTGTTCGTAGGCAACCTGCTACGTCGCAGCAGTCATCCACGCAAGACCTACCCACGGTGTTGAATGCGGACGCCGGATCCATGTCGACCGATATGCTTCCCTGCACTCCCGGATCCACCATGCTGACGGATCCCGCCAGCACGCAGAGTTCCAGGTCCGTGGACTCCTTTTTGCAGGGCGATAGCTTGTACGGGAGCAGCTCAGGGACCGGTAAGTAAAGTTGCTCTCGTTGCCACCACTTCCCTCTCCGCTTTTCTTTCCTTCCAGTTGCATGTTCCTTTCTGCTCTGTTTCACCTTTCTCTTTTCGTTCGTCCCTCTTGATATCTGTATGTTATACTGTTGAGGCAACGAACGGTAATAATAAAACCCTAACCAAACGACAACCAAGCCACCACCACATCTGCTCATTGCAACACTTTTGATTTGTTGACCAAAACTGTCAAGTCCTAATGGTAGCTGTGGGATTGCCGGTCTCGGCACTATACCTCAAAAGCTACGTGCAGGAGACGTTGGGCATAGATAAATGATAGATGTGTAAGTGGCAGCGTTGGAGTTTGCGGACAATTAGAAAAGATAGATGATATGCCAAATTAACGTGCAACTAGACGTGGGTGGGCATTGCCCACCAGTTGCCCACAAATTCTACTACAACATGTACGCGTCAGGCCCTGAGCTCTGCACGAGTACAAATAGCAGGTAACCGTACAGCTTTGAACTTTGTACTTCGCAACGCCCTCCCAAGTCTAGTTGCAAGTTGCTTGGCATGTCATCCATTGACCCAAGAATGTGAATGTCTTCACTTCTTCATGATCAAGTCAGGCCCTTACCGAGCTGGAACAACAAACGTGTTTTGGAGTGTTAAGACAAAGTGTTGCGGGTGTGGACCATTTTCAAATTGTTCTTATAACAGGACATGTGAGTATTTTTGTCTTGCTCCTACTGCTCCACTGATAATGTTGTATGTTTGACTGCTGGTGAATGTCACAGGCTACCCATACCTGATTCAGCGCACTGTGGGTCGTGAACTCACCTGGAAGAATAAGATCGGCGCCGGGAAATTCGGAGAGGTAGGTGTTTTTCAATGGCAGTGTTATTGTGCAGGGCATGACGAATTTTCTGGCGTGCATTGTTTCAATAAACGACGAAGACGACAATTATAGCCGTGGTTGGCTATAAAACCCTGCAATCGCCACGCAAAGTGGTCATTGGCTACCCCAGCCATGTATTGCTTGGAATAAAATAAATAAATAAAATAAATTTAAGTCATGCGATAGTGGTAGCAACTTCGGAGATGGTGATTTTATAAGAAAAAAGGTGTTTGCTCCCCACACCGGAGTTCGCGCTTTGCCGCCACTCTGGATGGCAGTCGTGAGCCAGTCAAGTGTCAAGTAAAGTCGGAGGAAAAGCTTTGTGACTTTCTGCCCCTCATGGGTTAAACACTTCCTTTCGCACAACTTTGTATTTTCTTCTTCTTTCAATAGTGTTTTGCCTGAAATACCCCATTTCCGCTTGTGCCGGGCAAAGCTTCCTAAGCTGGTTGTGTTTCTCAACACAATTGTATAGCCAGTGGTAACGCATATATGCAAACTGTTCTTTTTTCCGACTGGAAATGAGGCATCACAGCAGGAATTTGCCAAAATACCCCCCCCCCCCTAATGTTTTGTTTTTCCTACTCCACAAGGGTGTGACTTCGAACCTGCGAAACAGGGAAATCTTCGGACAGATTTTGTTATTTCATCATTCATGCTCATAATGACTCAAGTTTTACGCGAAATTCACCGTCTGTGAACGGCTATGGAAGCTAGATTGTAGCGGGTGAACGGGCTGGACTTGGTGTATGGAGATGTTACTTTGTACAGGAGGCCTATCTGCAGGAACTAGACCATGATATTGGGCTATTCAACTTGACCATGATATTGGGCTATGCAAGCTAACCAACAAAGTAGGCCCTATGGAGAAGTCACCCGAAACTTCCGCGAAATCGCAAAATCCTATATTTTTCAAAGTGGTATATGGGAAGATGATGTCCGAATTCCCTCCACAAATAGGCAACCAATAGATAGTCATTCGCTCTTGTTAGAGAAGTAAGGTGTCTCTCTCTCTTCCTCTCTGTCTCTCGCCCACTTGTGTACGCGTGATGCATATGCGTGCGTGTTGTCTTGTAGTCTTCCACTCTGTTTGGACAAATCCATCGTAATTTATTGTACGGTAGTTGCACTGCACTGGACTTATATGGTGCTTTGGTTGCATGACTTCCTGCCCGCTCTGCAGCGCGGCACGTTCCGCCACTGTGTATTATCAAGAGTAGATAAACAAGAGTGTGCAACTCGCGGATGGGTTGGCCCACGGCGGAATTTTTTGTTGACGTAATCTTTTCGACGACGCACGCGCTGCGAGCCTTTTGGAGAGTTTTCCCTCGTGCACTTGGCTGGGCTTTACACTACAAGGTCGGTGCCCAGGACGTGCTCTCACACTGCTCTGCGGCAAAGCCGCGTTTCTCTGAAAAAAGGT